AATTAATTCCATACAAAGGGCATTTTTATACCAAAAAAAAAAAAAAATTGTTGGGTTGCTCATAACTGTGGACCCCCATATATCGATAAAAGGATCTTTAAAGCTATTTTGGGTTCAAGGAGGATTTTAATGGAGGGGAGGAGATGTAAAATAATTTAACCTTGTTTGAGAGATTTTTTAGAACGGGATGGGCGAGAAAATGGTAAGCTTTTTTGGTTAAAAGATGGAAGGGGGAAAGTAATATAAGATTGACTATTGTGTTCTTAATGATATAAAAGATAACATTTAAATAAATAATATAATAAGGGTGAGTTTGGTTGGCAAATGGTTATTGGGCTTCAATAATCTTCTTGATATTATCAAGGGTTATCTATCAATTCAACTAGTCCATTAAGTTATTTGGTTGATGATTGGTAATTAAAAGATTCAAGGTTAGATTACTTTTTTGCCTTTCATGTACAATTAAATTTTTAAATCTTACTTTGCTACAAAATTCAGATTTTTCCCAATAACATTGCAAATTAATAAAACAACTTCAAATTTATCCTTCTTGTGTTACAATAACCTGTGCACACACACACCAAACTTTAGAACACAAATTCATCACTTATCTTCTATCCATTTTGTAAATATGAAAAAAAAAAATTGTGGACATATAAAACGTAAAAACCCAGGATAACGAAACAGAATCTTTACAGCGTGCCTTTGGCTTTTGAAACAAAAGGAAAGATGAATAATGACCACAAGACTTTACACTGTAACCAATTAATCGAATCCACCACTATTTTTCTCCTCAATTTGGAGGTGACAAACGACTTTCGCCAGAGGAGGTTGAGGTCGCCGATGTTTTGCTCCTCGGCGAGGGATTTGGAGGAGGGTTTGGGCTTTGATTTGGAGATTTGTGACTTAGACCTAGGGATGGAAAAGGACGAGACATGGTCGTTCTGATGCTGATCGCGATGGGATTTCTTCTAGCGACGGAGGGGTTTGGCCTTGGCCTCACATTTCTCATCATCGCGGAGGCGCTGGAGGCGCTTCTCTTCAATCTCGGAGGGATTTGAAGAATTTCTTGTCGTCGACGTCCTCCGCGAGGCTCTGCCGCTTTTTCAGAAGCTCCCGCTGAAGGATGAACATGGTTTTTTTATGCGGTGATTTTTGGTCGGAGGTTTTTGATGCGACTATTAGGTTTTTTTTCGTCGATTTAGGAGCACAAGGTCGATTGGAGATGTGAGCCTGTGACAAGGAACGAGGGTTGAGGGTATTTGTGTAAATTTAAAAGTAAAATAAAGATATATTACACATCTCACCTAAGAGATGACATACATAATAGTAAAAAATGTTAATAATTTATGCTTAGGTGAAGATGCATAATACTAAAATATGTTAACAATTTATCGGGTCATGACTTATTTCACGGGCTTATTTATTGGAACCAAACATGTTAATATGATGAATATGGTATAAACAGGTGTGATATGATGCATAATTCATCCAACCAAACAAGCCTAAGGTTATAATAGTAACTAGTATAGTACCCGTGTTCTACACGGGTATTGAATTAAGAAACATTTACATCAAAATATTTAAAGATAAACATAACAATTTTATTTTAATTTTTTGAAACTTTTAAAATTGCATTATTGGTTTTAAAACGACGCTAGAGTGTTATACATGAACATAATAATTTTTAATCACATTATATTTTCATAGTTTAAAGAAACAATTTTAGTTCCATTTGCAATAACCAAGAAAAAAAATTATATAAAAATAAGATATTATAATATGCTAATTATCGAAATACAATTAATTGATAGCACAATTTGCAATAATCAACATGTTAATGATAAAGATCATACAGAAATTCTTGCTAACAAAATAAACAAATTGGCATGTATGTTGCAAACATAATGTTTTAAATAGTGTACCGTATCAGATGGTATTAACGGTAATGTCCGATACGATTGACGGGCCGGTACAGCAACCCTTTAAATGCCATTATGACAAAAATAATGTTTTATACTGGTTTCATACAAAAAAATACTGGTCAAAATAGATTATATACCCAATTTAAAAAATATATATTTTTTAATATCTTTATCAATTTATTTATAAAATATTTACACTTAGTTTAAACATGTTTACATTATTATTAGTTCTTAATCAATTTTCGTGTTTATAAATAAACCAACTATCATAAATGTAGATAATGATAATTGTTTGTAACCAATGCCACAACATAATTATCATATTATTCTTAACAGTAATTTGTGCAAATAAGTAAGTTATTTTTTATTTTAGTTATTTATGTTTTGCTACATTTATATATGTGTCCTAACTTTAGATTTATTTATTTATATAAAAATAAAAAAAATTAAGTGGACATAAATAAAAAAAAAATAAAACAAGTGGAAAAATATCAAAAGCACGTATTCTTAGAATACGTTTTTTAAATAAGAACGTATTCCTAAAATACGTTTTCAAAAAAAAAACGTATTCTAATAATACGTGTTCATTAGAAACAATTAATTAAGGTGATTAACGTAATTAAAGTAATTAAAATAGCTTAAAAACGTATTCTGGGAATACGTTTTCCGTTAAAATATTTAAAATTAATATTTTTGATTTTAAAAAAACTTATTTTTTTGGAAAATAATATTTGCAAAATTAAAACGTATTTTCAAAATACGTTTTTGAACATAATTTTGCCCCAAATTGATTGCGCCCTAATTTTATCCCCAAATCGATTTTGACCTAATTTTACACAAACAAAAAACGTATTTTAAAAATACGTTTTTCTACCTAATTTTGCCCCAAATTGATTGCGCCCTAATTTTATCCCCAAATCGATTTTGACCTAATTTTACACAGTAGAAAAACGTATTTTGAAAATACGTTTTTGAACCTAATTTTGCCCCAAATTGATTGCGCCCTAATTTTATCCCCAAATCGATTTTGACCTAATTTTACACAGTACAAAAACGTATTTTGAAAATACGTTTTACTGTGCAAAAACAGCAATTCACAGAAACAAAATTACAAAAACACACCTGTTAATCGAGATCGATTCCACAACCAAATATAAATTCACAAAACCCATATCAACCATGTCAAAGAAACAATAATGAAGCACAATAATTCACTTTCCAAATATAAAATTCCAAACAAGTTCAAATATCATTACACATAAATCCACGAAAGAAAAAAATAAATATATATGTCTACAAATTGTCTCCGAATACAACACAACTAACTAGGAGTGTATCGATTGGTAGGGTTGCGCGGTCGGTTGCTAATCCGACGCTGTGGTGGTTGTGCAGAAGACGATGCTGTGGGTGTGGTAGGTTCTTGTTCTTCTTCTTGAGCTGAGTAATTAAGTTTTTTAAGAAATTAGAAATGTGACTTAACAAAAATCACAAAACATAAATAAAATTATATTTTTGTTAACTAAAAGATGTTTACCTTCTTCTTGTTGTTCCTCAGGCCCGGCGTCGGCAACTGGTTCGCGGTGACGTCGTCTTCTACCTCCACGAATATGGGGAGGAGGTTGATGCCTGGCTCGGTGTGACTGCGTCCTCTGGGGTTGGACGTAGCTCTCTTGTGATAAAACTTGGCTTGACGACGTCCCCTGACCGATCTCTCCGCCTCCGACAGTCAGAGATGTGTAGAGAAGGCTCTTGGCATATTGGATTGCCGCCTGCATCTCCGGATGGGCTGTATGATATAGATGCTCAACATTGGATAACACGTTATAAGCCCCCTCCATGCCGCTAGCCTGAAAATTTAATTCAAAGTAATTTTTATGAAACGCAAAAAATAAAATAATAATAGAACAAGAAAAAAACACACACACACACACAAATTATAAACACTTACATCGCACTTCCAATGCTCGGCAAGTGGCTGATAGCCTCCGTCCTGTTGTACCACCGGGTACTTAGCAGGGTCACTGATTAGTCTCACAGTCCTGCTGTGAAACCAATCAAGGTAGCCCTGGCCAGGCTGTACGAATGACTCCACACGCTCATCTGGGAGGACATTTTGGTGTCGTTCGACCCAAACATTCCCAAGCTGGGAATGAAAGTCCACCCAATCATATACCCCCCTCCCGGTCATTCCCTGGCCCCGGTGGTGTGTCTCCCAGTCGACCTCACCCGTAATGATCGGAGTGTCGGGGATGGACTGATGACACCCGAACTGACGGAGGACTCTACCCGGCTCGTGGGTTTCACAGATGTCCCAACAGAACATCCAGCCCCTATACATCCAGAGGCTTGAATGTTCTGTACACTGGCCCGGGAGAGCATTAGCATTCAGGAGGTCTTCATACGGCATCCAATCGAACTGTAAAAAACAAAAAAAAAATAATAATAATTTCGTAAGTTATTAAAAGATAAAACACATAAAACAAAAAATAAATAACAATCAATAATATTTAATCATAATCTTACATCCGTCTCTCTTAGCCCTGTCAGTTGATCCCGGACAGCGGCTGTTCCCGTTACTATGTGTTTCGTGTCCTTCCGTCCCACCCACCTTAAAAATCACAGAAAAAAAAAAAATCAGAAATTGTAATTAGAAAATTGATAATTGAAATAATAAAATTATAAAATATATAAATAAATATCATTACCTTCCACCTAAAGGACAACCAATGACTGTTTGAAATCTCGTAGCCTCCTTCATTCTCGGGCGAAGCCGAGGGATACGTTCCCATGCCCAAACCTAAAGATATAGCCATATTCATTTGTTATTAAATATTAGTCTAAATTTAAAAAAAAAAAAAATGAATTTTGAAATAACAATTAATTAAATGTACCTGAATCAATTGGACACAGCTCTTGATCCAGCCTTCTCCGGTCTTGTAGCTCGTGCACAGCGCTCTATACACTGCGGCCAGTAGCGCCGACCCCCAGCTGTACTCCTTGATCTTATCGATGTCGCGCAAGAGCTGGGTCCAGTACAAGTTGACTCCACAGGCCCTCTGATCGGGAAAGAAGAACGATCCAAGGCACCAGAGGATAAGCGCCCTCGCCCTCTCTTCGTAGGTCGATATATCCTCTCCATCTTGCAGCACTCTGTTGCATTCGTTTTCCAACCTCGAGTGCTTCAGATACTGGCCCACAATTCCCCAAGTTTTGGGGTTGGCTGTCGGGTCGTCTGCTGCCTGAGAGTGATTTATATATATTAAAAATCAAACAATGGATTATACATAAACAAACAAAAAATAAATAAAAAAAAAATGTGTTAAAAAATTTACCTGGGGGTCGAAGCCTAGAAGGTCCACACACTCGTCTCGCCATTGCTGGTTTATCCAATCTACAGTCTCTCCCCAGCAAGGCTTTCCATCGACCGGGAGACCAAACAGGACTTGTACGTCCTAGAGCGTGATTGTGGCCTCCCCGAAATCAAAATGGAAGGTGTGCGTCTCCGGTCGCCACCTTTCGACCAGACAGGTAATTAGGCTGTTGTCCGTCTGGACTCTGCCCATCCGAAACAACGGCCCAAAACCCGTCCTATCGATCACCGCTAAAACCGCCGGATGTTGTCTGTCCAACACCTTCCAAAATTCATTGTCGTTACGGCGGTTTTTAATGGTGCCGTTACGACATCCTTCTAAATCTTCATATACCGCTCTCGACCGGTGGCGGTACTGAAGGTATAGAAGGGAGGGATCAATCGGACCGGGGTGTACATTCAACCGTTGAGGTTGTGACGAGGACGATGATGCCATTTTCTACAAATAAATTAAATAAACAATAAATTCAAAAATTCACAAATAAATTATATACACAGTAAATTCACCAAATCACGAGAAAATTCGAAGCTCTAATTCACAAATGACGAATAAATTCACAAATGACGAATAAATTCACAAGTGACGAATAAATTCACAAATAAATTCACAAATTCAACACATCACAAATGACGAAAAAATTAACAAATTCAACATATCTTAAATAATTCGAAGCTCTAATTCACCAAATAAATTCACAATTCACGAATGAATTCACAAATTCAACATATATACTATATATTTTGAAACCCTAATTCGCAAATAAATTCACAAATAACTTCACAATTCACGAATAAATTCACAAATTACTACAAATCACGAATGATTTCACTCTCTAATTCACAAATAAACTCACAAATCACAAATACATTCACAAATTCGAAACCCTAAATTTAGCCCTAATTTGAGGTATTGAATGAAATTGACAAAATTAAAGCCAAAATTGAAGGAATGTACCTTACACCGTGAAGTAGGCGAGGCGGCGACGGCAACGGACGGCGACGGCGAGGGTAACGGACGGCGACAGCTCTCTCTTGCTCGGTTTTTCTCCTCCTCTGCTCGCACTCTCTCTTTTCTTTTCTGTTCTCAGTTCCAGTTGTTCGCGTAAGGAGAAGAAGAGAAAGGCTTTTTTTTTTATATTCAATTGAAGAACGTATTCTGAGAATACGTTTTACCTTTATTTAATTGTAAAACGTATTCTGAGAATACGTTTTACAATTAATTAATTGTAAAACGTATTCTCAGAATACGTTCTTTAATTACAAAAAAAGTGTAACAAGGTTCCCAGATTCGGGACTCGAACCCGGGATCGGGTGAGTCCGTTATCTCTGGGGGCTCCTCGTTACCATTAGGCCGCACTAGGCTATCGCTGCTATTTCTACACAACTTTTGTTCTTATCATTCAACATCTATATTTTGTATATTATATAGTATTTATAATATATACATATATGTTAATATTTATATAAACATATGTATTATATTATATATAGTATAGTATAGTATAT